GAACATCTTCACTGACTGGAACACATCAGAGACCTGATATCTGTGGAGATAACTAAAGCTGTGACCAGGGCTGGGCCGTGTCCTACCGTGCACGGTAACACCAGTGTAATGCTAGGGGATGCTATGAAATGGAAATACTACCATAAAATTTGAGGGAAACGCGCAGTGCCGTTGTTTTGGTCCAATCTAATGCACACGGAGCGAGAAGCATGGCGGCTGCCGAGGAGGAGGGCGAATGCAGTGCATCGACCGACACAGCAGGGCTGGACCCGGATATCATATTCAGTCGTTGTGTTGGTGTCCGCATAGCAATGGCCTGTCGCCGCCACCACCGCCACCACCGCTGCCACCCGATGGTGGAAACAGAACTGCGACCGCTATCCTAAACTGGCATCAGTAGCCAAGTCCTGCCTGTGCGTCCCGCCCACTTCCACCCTGTCGGTCCCAATATCCACCCGCCGCTATACACCCCCGAATATTCAGATATTCCTCATTACATGGATCAGAATACCCAGAGTCCAGAAATTGCTATTCGGACCAGTCCTACAACACAGCTGAACTAGAACTGGTTTGCAAAGAAGTGTTGTGGAGCTGGTTTGGTGTACACAGCAGAGCAGGCAGACCATTGTGGCGAAGGGAGGAAACACGACAAACTTGTTTCACCATTTAAAGCCAAAGCACTTGTTGGAGTACAACAAAGCTGTAAAAGCAGGTGAGGAGGCGTCTGCTTCAGCTGACGTGGTGCTGAGACCTAAGAAACTGGCTGTTGCAAAACAACTCACCTTTACTTCTGTGGATACTGCGCATTGTTCTGCTCAGGACGCGTCAGCACGTTTCCATTTGAAATGCCTTTTGATTAAACAAATCATCAGCAAGCAATTTACAACGTATGGATTTTGGTGCATTTCAGCTTTAATGCACATCAGAAACAGCTGCTTGCTACATGGAAAAGAAATGTTTCCTTTTTTTTCATTTGCACCAATAAAGTTGTGCAGTTTTGAAGTATTTTGTCTATCGTCAATGACATCGTCTATCACGTCGTCTATCACGTCGTCAATTATATCTTCAATGACATCGTCAATGACATCGTCAATTATATCGTCAAACACGTCGTCAATCACATCGTCGGTTGAATCGTTAACGCACATTTTCTCATTTATATCGTGATAAGTGTCTTTGGCCATGTCAGCCTGTCCGAGCTGTGACTCTACAAAAACACTTGAAAACCAAACAAATCCAAACAAATCCAAGGATTCCTGGACGAGCAAACAGTGACTTTATTTGTATTCAGTGTGTTTTCTGCATTGCTGATTAAACAGCAGTGTTACAGGTACAAAGATTAAACTCTAAAGCTTCTTGCAGCCTTTTGTGTCTGCTGGCTGTTTACTGCCTTAAAGCAGGAAGCTGGTTTCATCTGAATTCAGCTCTGTGTTCAGAGACAGATTAAACCTCAATAATCCAGATTAATCCCGGATGACAACGGTCCAAACACAGAGTCGCTGCTGCAGCACTTTGATTCCTGCACTTCAACCTGAGCATCATCTACTTACGTCTTAACAAGAGCGTCTGACTCCTGAACCCTGCTGGGTCCTGTTTCAGGGCAGCAGCAGTGGAGCAGCTCGGTGATGTTCGGACCTTCTGACCTGCAGCTCTGCAGCAGTGCAGTCCAGACGGACCGAGCTGCTCTCAGGGGTTCATTCTAAGACTCAGAGCAACAAGCTGCTGCTGTCTCTGTTAATAAAACCTGTAAATACTGGTAAGGACTGCTTATTGTCTCCCTATGAATCACATCTCCACAACCAAAAAAAACAACTGCACCCAAAATGACAAAAAACCTGCAACAGGACTCAGATTGATGAATGTCAGACCCATAAAATCCTGTTACTAAAGGTCTGTCACCGTCTGTGTCAGAAAATGAACATTTGTCCGTAAACAGAAGGAAAACGTGCAGGAGCATCACTGGTGGACAGAAAGCGTTGTCAACTTGTTCCTGTAGGTCTCTACAACTATTCACTGGGGGAAGGAGGCTGACTTCCACTGAGCAGGAAGAACATCACCTGGAACTAGCAGCCAATGGCAGCTTCACACCTGCAGACAACACCTCCTTCTAATGCTTCACATGAAGACAGAATGTATAACCCAGGTCAGTTCTGGATAAAACATCAGCTGTCCATCGACGAGTGAATCTACAGAACAGGATGATTCTACGGCTCTGCTGCTACGAGAGTCAGAGTCTGGACTGAAGTCTTTCCTCATGCTGTGCTGTTAAAGCTGATCATTAATGTGAGAAGCTTCTTTCTATGAATCAGTGCTCAGGTGTGATGGAGGATCAAACCTCTCCTGAACAGCATTCCAGACGTGTCGGTATGAAGCAGCTTCTATCACGGCTGACAGCTGAAAAAGCTCTTAGGCCTGTTTGATGTCTGACACTTGAAACCACTCCAGAAGTGAACACCTCACTGAGAGACGTGAAAAAATCTCTTCTTTCTCTGTTAATATTTAAAACACAGCAGCTGCTGTTTTACTCGTTCAGCTCTTTGTAGCTGATGGTCAACTCGTCTTTCCTGCTATCTGAAGTACATTCATGCCGACAGAAGGAGAGTCTGCAGCAGCATTTACAGCCTGGTGTCAGTGGGAAGCTGATGCTGTAGGACCACTGTGAACTACCCAAAGCTCTGCAAAGGGGAACGTCACACCTTCATCAGTACAGCAGATAGACACATGACATTTAGGAGGAGGAACACACCTGAGTTCTGGTAGAACCTGACACCAGATCAGTTCCACATCCATCCAGGTGTCTCAGTCTGAACACTGGACCTGGTTTCTGCTCATTTTCTCTGTAGAGCATCAGTATTATGGGATGTATCGTAGTGTGAACAGCAACACGATCATTTCCTGCTCCGTAGAACAGACAAATGTTGATCCCACATTACACACCATCAGTCTGAGGATGGAACAGAACCAGAACTGAACTCTATCAGAGGAGAATCTAGAGACTGAAACTAGCTCTGAATGCTGCAGACTGGGTCATCACTGAGCTCAAACTGTTGTAGAAAACATGAGAACATTAACGTACGTTCTGTATTTACAGACACGAGGCACATTCTGCACTTAGAATATGAAGACAGAAGAACATGACTTTTCCACAGTGAATCATGTCTAGAAGGTGATCATGGTGATGGCAGCGCGCATAGACACAGCGCCCCCTTCAGGAGACAACCAAAGTGAACGTTTTGAGTGTCTTGTCTATCCCAGACGTTCATTCTGCTGAACATCAGGACAGTGAACGGCGCTAAAACTGCAGCGATCGGTTGTGATGTGGACGTTCTACACCAACACGGAGTCCGATCGGAGACGACGCCGGCAGTTACCCGAGAGAGAAACGGTCCGAATGTAAACAACGGAGGAGGAAGAGAGCGGGATCCATGCTAAGCTAAAGGCTAACCCCTCCAGACCAGC